GTTTAACCCTTTCCAGGACAAATCTGTTTTCCTAGCAGTCCATGGTATTCTCAATACTCTTCTCCAGCACCACAGCTCAAAGGCATCAATTCTCCTTCTATCCTCCTTGGTCATTGTCCAACTCTCTGATGCATAACGATTGCGAAGACCATGGCCTGTATCAGACGCATCTTAGTCTCCAGAGAGACACCATTGCTCTTCAGTACTTTGGAGAGGTCCCTAACAGCAGACTTTCCCATGGCAATGCGCCTTTTAATTTCCTGGCTGCTGGTGCCAAGACTGTTGACTGTGGAGCCAAGCAAACTAAAGCTGTGGACAATCTCAATCTCTTCACCATCCATCCTTTTGCTGCCAATTGGTGCAGTGGTGAGAATCTTTGTCTTCTTGACATTGAGCCTCAATCCATATTTGGAGGCTGCAGTCCTTGACCCTCTGCAGCAGGCGCTTCAGGTCCTCTTCATTTTCAGCAAGCAGGGCTGTGTCATCTGCATAAGGCAGATAATCATTTTGTTCAGTATGTCTTATGCGCTTTTCCAAAATAGTTGGTAGAGTGTTGCATTGCCAACTCAAAAGCAAAATCTATCAGCTATTCTGCAGGAATAAAATGGACAATCTTTTCCCTTGTGATTTACAGCCTTTGAAAAGCTGCTGGAGAAGCAACTGTAAGCTGGTTCTGATTCAGATCCATGAGTGAGTGAGTTAATAGGGTTGTAGTGGTGTCTACAAGGACTTGCTCATATTTCTCCCACAGTCTGCTGGTACTGCCTTTGGGTTGACAGTACAACTCCTAGACTACCAGACTACTAGTTTATTTTTTTGAAGTCTTCATTCCTTGCTCCATTCCCATGATGTCATAGTTAAGTCAGCGGGTGTTTTTGAGGAGAACCAAAAAGAGAGGGAATTGTGTAAATCAGGTAGTGGGGTTTTGGGCAATGGCGGAAACCTCTACTTAAACTTGGCAATGAGCAGTGAGACTGAGATGGTACTGTCATAGATACCTCTGTTGTTGTATATCCTCGAGTCAGAAGTAACCCATAGCTGACCCTCCATCAGGTTTTCACACAGGAGGCTGCCCATCCTTTTCCTGTGGAGCAGCTGGTGGATCCAAGCCACGTGCCTTTGGATTACAGTGCATCTACTTACCTTTAGGCCAGGAAAAATCCCGAGTTACTGTGGAATGTATAGAACCCTGGTGGTATAATGCATATACTTTATCAGGTTACTACTGAAAGATCAAGAATTTAGATCTACCAGCTTCTCTGAGGGACCAAGATGGGCTTCCTGTAAAGACTTATGGCCTCAGAAATCCAGCAAAGGGTCACTATATACATTGGAACCAACTCAAAGGTCAGTGAGTATGAGAGATACAGTGCTGCACCAGGAGCAGCTACAATTCAAAGAAGGAGGAAAACTTCAACTGTGACATGAAGTGAAGTGCAAGGTTAAAATTCTCTCTTGCCTTTTTGAACACAACTGGCTGGTTACCCAAATTTAGGATTTCACTTGGGATCACTTAAACCATGTAAGCCCCAACTTGACTTGACATTCTTCATAGTTTTTGGTAATTTTCTTAAAGAGCATGAGTTATGAGGGCCATTTTAAGCTTTATCCTATGCTTAAATGTGTATTATAGCACAACACACACACTTGCAAAGACTTGTATGATTAGGTGCAGGGACAAGAATCTAACTAAATCATAGTTAGAATGTTATGAAATTTTTGTGGGTTTGCTAAAATATTGTTTCATTGTTGCACATTTTCTTCCACTCCATCTTCTCCCCTAGCCCACCCCTTGTTCCAGATTGTTTTCATCTATAAAATGCCTAATCATATATTCCTTTTGGTCATTTCTTCCCCTTTTCTGTTCTAATGCAATCAGTGTTCCTTATCTAGCCATTCTTTCCTATTCTCTCCCTATTGCCTCCATATCTTTTCTATTTTATAATAGTGTAGAGTGCTATATATAACAAATAGATCTTATGACTTTCCATTTGAATTTGGTCAATGTCCTATTAATGTCACTGACATTTAATTAAAAACTATATGTTATGTAAAATAAATCCAGAAATATGTCCACTTACCAGATGAAATATAAGCAAATGATGATTTATTGCAGGTTGTCTTTGCCTTACTGTATGAAGGTGTAGCTACTGATGAGCTAACCAGTATGCTTTCTTTCAATTCAGAAATTGCATTTTTTAAAACGTCAATAAAAGTGTATAGAATGAATGATTGAAGGGAACCAATACTAATGAAATGAAAATACTAGTAGCCAGTCTGTTAGCTGTTAAAATTTAGAGACAGAATAGAATATAAATGACTACTCACTTTTATTCTTAATTAATCACATTTGAAAAACAAATGACTGTGTAATCTTTCTTTTTAAAATGTCACATCTGCCCAGCAACAATAACAAAGTTCAACCAAGCAGCAAACAACAAATGCTGACAAAGTTGTGGAGAGATTGGAAGTCTTATTCATTGCTTGTGAAAATGTAAAATGGTACAGCCATTGTGGAAAGCAGTCTGGCATTTTCTCAAAAAGTTGGAAATAGAAACCCCATTTGACCCAATTCCAGTACTGGGAATATACCCTAAAGAAATACCTTTAACAGGTATATGCACACCCGTGTTTATTGCTGTGCTGGTCACAGTAGCAAAGAGATGGAAGCAACCCAAGACCCCATCAACAAAAGAATGCATAGAAAAACTCTGGTACATTCACACGATGGAATATTACACAGCATTGAAAAACAATGAATTTGTGAAACATTATACAACATGAATGACCCTGAAAGATATTATGCTGAGTGAAATATTTCAATCACAAAAGGACACTTCCTAACACCACTGTTATAAACTAGGACACATGGGTAGAGTGAAGTGAGAAGAATGGGAAAGAGTAGATAGATAATGAACCTGCATTAGAACAGATGAGGGGAAGAACTGTCTGAAAGGAATATATGATTAGGCATCATATGCATGGCAAGAATCTGTAACAAGGAGTGCATTGCAGGGTGGCCTGAGTGGGGAAGAAGACAATATGCAACAATGAAGAAAGAATAAAATCTCACATCTTTATCTTTTATCTTTCCATTTTCAAATCTCCTTTTCTAATGGCTCACCATATGCCGGTGGCCCTTTTTTGGTGGTTTTATTGTGACCCACATATTTGACATTCTGCATTTTTGCGTGTACAGCTCAGTGTCATTGGCTTCCTTGCCTTTGTCCCCACTGTTTTCTGATGATCTAAGTCTCAGTTCCCACTCAGCTTTCCTCTTTTACTTTGTTGCTGCTAGGTATTTATCCTTACCTATCCCACTGTGAATTTCACCTGAAAAAGGGACCTTGCCCCTCAGACCCCCCTCCACGAAATCAATGGTACTTTCCCCCTCCCCCCCTTTCTTGTCACATTAGAAACCTCTGGCATCTGTTAGTCTTTTCTGATACTTTTTTAGTGTTATGTTGGCTGGTGAAGCACCATATATTGTCATAAAATTGTCATTTATTTAAAAAAATAATAATTTCTCTCTCAAGCCTCTCCTTCCTGATATCTCCATTGTCAACAACCTGCTTTTGTCCCCAGTCTCATACTTGCCTTTTTGCTTCCATTGACCTTTCTGTCTCTTCTCACCAAGCCAGATGCTGGCCAGATGAATTTTCCTACATCCTGCCTTTGATTACATATTTCACTTGTTCAGAAATCTCTGGTATAGCTTCCTTTTCTCAATAAAACCAGTTGCATCTCTGAACTAGCTTCACTGGCCTACCCTTCCTGATTTTCCTCCAGTCTTTATGAAACTTCTATTCCAGCCAGTGATTTGGCTCTCAGTTTCATGAGCCCCCTCGCATCAGTCATTTCTGGTTCATGTTCCAGTGTGTACTGTGTCTACCATTCCTTCCCTTGCTCCACCTGCCCCTCTCATCTGACTTCTCCTCACACTTAATTGTCATGATATTTAATATGAAGATGGGGGTTACCTCCTTTTTAATGTTGAGTCTCCCCTACTGCTGATTTCCTCCGTTGTCGAGCACGACTCAATAGCAATCCTATGAACAAAAGACTTGAAGCCTCTCTACAACTATCGACATTTATCAAAGAGTTTCCAGAGGAATGTTATTTAGGAAGTGGATTCCACTCTTGCTTGACTCTTAATGTCTTCAATGGTGATTTAATAATTTAATTTCTTAAAACAATGATACCGTGAACTGCATTTTGCTTGTTTAATTCTTCCATATATCTGTGTATGTAGCTAGACTGTCCATGCTTCATGTTCAAGAGCTCATCTTCTCTTTGTGCTCCAAAATGCCCAGTTTGCACTGTTATCCTTGTTACCTCTGTTATGTTGGCCCCCAACTCATGGTGATCTTAGACACAGAGGAATGAAATTCTGTTAATCCTCCTGCCCCATCCTATGATGTTCTGCAGCCTGGAGCATTGTGGCCCATAGTGTTTTCACTAACTGATACTCAGATCAGATTACCAGGCCATTTTTTCTAGTCCATTTTAGTCTGAAAGTTCCATTTAGATCTGTTCAGCATCATAGCAGCTTGCACATCTCCGGTGACAGACAGGTTATGGCTGTGTACGAGGTACATTCTCTGAGAATTGAACCAGGGGTCTCCTGCACAAAAGGTCAGAACCGTACCGTTGGACCACTATTGTTCTGACATGTGCTGGCACTGTTTTGTTCTACTAAATCCTTAATACCACAATAGAACCTGACATTGGCTTGGGGGGAGGGGAGAAAGAAAGTATTTTTTTGTTTAATTTTGTGGGTGCTCCTAAATGTCTTTAATAAATATATTTACTATAAATATTCATTCACTTTAATGACTGTTCACCTTTCATTCATGCGTACTTTCGTTCTCTGTTAAACTCCCTAGCATCACGTGCTTACAAATAACTAAAAAAAAGATCATAGTGAGAAAGTAAATTAATTTATAGCTAGCACTTGTGCAACAGGGCTTGCTTGAATTCTTCTAATTGTTTTTTTGCAGATATTAATGAATGCCAACTGCAAGGTGTGTGCCCTAATGGTGAGTGTTTGAATACCATGGGCAGCTATAGATGTACCTGCAAAATGGGATTTGGGCCAGATCCTACCTTCTCAAGTTGCATTCGTAAGTAATGATCACTTTGCATTGTTTTTTGGGTTAGTTATCTTTGGGGTGCATCCAAAAAAGAAAAGAAGCAGGCAACCCTCCATTAGTTAAAATGAGAAAAGGTGAAGAGGCGAGTCCGATCATGTAAAAGAAGTCTGCATCTTGGGAACTTTTTCAAAATGCATCCTTACTCCATTCAGTTACATTTAACAGCTAAAATGAGAGTAAAGTACACTGAGATGTGGACTTTGAATGAAAAGAATAGCTCTCCTTAAAACTGGCCTGTCAATGTTTTTTTGGGACCTATAAGATGAAAAGGAACTTTCCTTTTTCAGTGTTTTAAGAATTCTTTGAGCAGAGTTATGGCTGCTGCCTTTAATTATCCCAAATTCTGAGTCACTGGGGCCTGCTTTTAGGATATTTTACTGTGCTTTCTCGACTGGAAAAGTCTGGGAATTAGTTAGGGAGGCCTTGTGTCTCACATTTACTAGTTTGGTTATAATTTCAAATACCTTGTCCTAGGGTCCTCAAAATTTCCCACAATTTCCCCAGAAATCATAGTACTTTATTCTATAAAAACCATCTCGAAGGTTTTTTTTAAAATATACTTTGTAAGGGTAAAAATTCTCCAGCAAAGCACATGCTGCTTAATTTGGATGCAGAACATGGTTTCCCCAAAGTGACTCTAACATACACACACCCCACACACACACATACATTCAGTATAACTACAGTAACTCAGGTGTTAACTCCTGATAGATTCATCTTAAGTATAATCTTCTTTAATGCAGATTTTAAAAGACTTTTATTTTTAAGCTACTCATTACTACAAAAGTAAATAAACACTCTAGATCTTTTAAAGCCTTATGTATTTAAAGTTTAAAATTCTTAAAAAAGGCAAAGAGAAAGACTAGGAAGCCTGCGGTGGGGAGGGGGTAAATGAAGTCATTGAGTTTGGTAGGTGAAGGATTTAGAGAGCCAGAGGAGATCTGAAAAGATGGGTGAGAGCGGCCATAGATCAATGGTGATTAATTTTATAAGACCTACTGTAAGAATATGTGAAGTACTGCACAACATGGATGAATCTAATGCAAATTCTACTGAGTGACAGTGTCAGTCACAAAAGTATAATTATAATATAAGGCCACTACTATGAAAAGATAAGGAAAGATTTACAGACAGATAAAATCAACCTTGAGGGTTAACAGGGATGGGAAGGGAGGAGGTGATATATGATTGAGTATTATTATGGTTAGCACAGGAATCCAGAATTAAGGTTGCACAGAGAAGTGTACTCGGGGTGGGGGGTGGGGGAGAAGGGATGTGGGAATTGTATACTAATGAAGGAATTTTTTTTTCTCTTCGGAGTGGGGAGCGAGCTGGTGGGGAGGGGTGGGCAGGCAGAAAAGTGTGGCACTGAATGAAAGGAAATCCAAAACCTCTGTAAATGTTTATTAAAATTAATAATAATAAAAAAATAAATTAAAAAAATAAAAGTTGATGAAGGGAAAGGCAGTACACAATGAGGGTTGATTAGATATTGTAATTAATTTCTTTAATCAGTGATGATATTATTTAAAAAAAGTCTATGAATGTATGAAAAAACCAATACAATTTTTAGAAGCCTTCACTCAAATGAAAAATATTTTTCTTTTAAAAAATGAAAATAAATTCTTGGCAGAAATCTGTTGATTGTGTATTCTCTCCAGTTTTATGGACATTTGCAGTTAGATCAAGGCATGTCATTGAGACTTAGCCATGCAGAGCTCCTCAGTCTGTGCCCAAAGCTTAGATGTGTACAGACGATGAAATAATGGCACATGTAGTAAAAGAAAAAATTACAATTTCCTTTATTCATGTTCATGAGTTTGAGTCTTTTGGAACATTGTTACTAATAAAAATTGTTTTCCTTTAAAAACTGTCAAATGCAGATTAGGAAATTTTGCACGTAAGTTCTTTTTACTTTGTTCTTTTACATATATGTATATATTAAATGGGCTTGATCATGAAGCAGACAGATACCTAAGTATAGGCCTTTTTAGGGGAGTGGTAAAATTTAGCTGTAAAACTGTATTTGCATACAAGGTATATTTGAAAGCTTATGCAAGGTGTAGATATTTCAGGCCAAAACTCACATTGTTGACAATATCCAGATAATTTAGGGATAATTTTTGGCTAGCTTGAATTACATGAGTAAATATTTCAAAGTTTTTGTAATTTAAGTGTAAGAGATTATAAAGAATTGATAGGCTTTGTGGAATGTATTTTTTTAAATTTCTTAAATAATTTTACTTGTAATCTTGTTAAAATCATTATATTGAAGGTTGCAGATTTGGTAAACTGTGAGCTGGTCACAAAATGTTTTATTAAACTTTGACTAGATCTGATGTCTAGAATTAAGGCAGGCATCCAGGTTTTAATAAGATTGTAGAAATCTGCCAATGAGCTTTTTTAAACACTTGCACATTTCCTTAGCATTTATTTTTCCTGTCATTGCCCAAATAATACTGAATTTATTAAACAACCATCCATTCTTTTTTGAAAAATAAATAAATCCATTTTATGGTTCAGCTACAACAGCTGAAATGATAAGCATTAAGAGACGTTTGGTGCTAGTGAAATGTTCCAGTTTTGAAGTTAAAACCTGGGCTCATTACCAGTGTTGAGTGGAAAGATTTATCCCTCTTCCCTCTGATTTTAACACATACAGATATTAGGGTTCCTTTAGGAGTCGCAACTTGGGCCAGTCTATTCTGACCCAGTGGAAGACCAGATTGGGAAAAATTAAGACCAGTGGGGAAGGATCAGAGGAAAAGAAAGTGTCCACAGAGTCCGGCACAAAAGCAACGAGATTGGGAGGGTGGTGGTGCTATTGATAGTTGTGGAAAGATAGAAAAACAGCTGAAAACCAGTTGCTGTGGAGTTCATTCCAGTTCATGGGGATCTCATGTTGGTCTTTAGTTTTCTGCAACAAGTACGGCAAGCCCTCCTCACTTTCTGGAAGCAAGGTGTGTCATCTGGGTAAATGCAGGTTAATAATGAGTCTTCCTCCAATCTTGATGCCATATTCTTCTTCACAGAGTCCAGCTTCCCAATTAATTTGCTCAGCATATATATTGAATATGTATGTAGAGAGTGTATAACCCTTCTTAATTTTATATCAGGTAATTGCTCTGTTCACACAACAGCCTCCTAGTCCAGAAAAAGCTTTCACATGAGAGCAATTAAGTACTCTGAGATTCCCATTCTTCTACTGAGAATTCCTCCACTTGTAATGATCCACACAGCCAGATGCCTCTGCATAATCAGTAAAGCAAAAATAGACATTCTTCTGATATTCTTTACTTTCAGCCTGGATCCGTCTGACATTCGTAGTGATATCCCTGGTCCCATGGCCTCTTCTAAATCCTGCTTGAACTTCTGGCAATTCCCTATCTATGTACTGTTCTAACCATTTTTTAATGCTCTACAGCAGTGATTTTTGCTTGCATAGCATATTGTTCAATAGTTTCCACATTCTGTTAGATCACTTTTTTTTAGGAATGGGAACAAATATGGACCTCTTCCAGTCTGTTGGCCAGACAGCTTTCCTCCAAATTTCCTGGCAGAGACTGGTGAGTGCTTCCTGGGTTCCATCTGTTATTTGAAACAATTGGTATCCTGTCAATTCCTGGGGCTTTTTTTTTCTTCTTGCCAGTGTCTTCAGTACAGCTTCAACTTCCTCCTTCATTACTATTAGCTCCTGCTCATATTGCACTTTTTGATATTTGTTTTTTGCATTTCAGTCAAATGTTGTGTGTGAGCGTGGGTATGTGCATGTGGGTGTGATTTGACTCTGTTATTACCGCCCTCTTCTTTTGATGCTTTCTAGATCATTCACTGTGTTGCCATAGTTTCTTTCAGTATTGCAACACGAGGCTTAAATTTGTTTTTCCATTCTCTCAGCTTGAGAAATGCAAAGCAAGTTCCTCCTTTTTTATTCTCCAATTCCAACTCTCTGTTCATACCATTATAATACTTTACTTTGTCTTCTCAGGCTTCCCATTGAAATTCTTCTGTTCAGATCTTTTACTCTGGCATGCTTTGTCTTGGCTTCTCAACACTATAGGGTGATTTTCAGAGTCTCGTCTGACATCCATTTTGATTTTTTCTTTCTCCTCTTTGTGATTGAACTTCGGCTCTCTTCATTGATGATATCCTTGATATCGTCTCACAACTAATCTGGTCTTTGATCATCAGTGTTCAATGTTCTAAACTTGTTCTTAAGGTGTTTTTGAAATTCAGATGGAATAGATTCAAGATAATATTTTCGTTCTCATGGACTTGTTTTAGTTTTCTTTGGCTTCAATTTGGACTTGCATGTGAGTAATTGATGATCTGACTTGCTTCTGAAAGTGAGGAGGACTTCAGAAGATCAAAGAATACAGACCTTAATATGGATTGCACCTGAACATCAAGAAAACAATGATTCTTTCAACTGGACCAATAGGCAATATCATGATAAATGGAGAAAAAATGAAAACTGCCAACAACTTCATCTTACTTGGATCCACAATTAACACCCTTGGAACCAGCAATCATGAAATAAGGAGACTCATTGCACTGGGAAAATCTCCAGTGAAGGACCTTTCCAAATTATTGAGGAGTAATGATGCCAGTTTGAGGACGAACGTGCATCTGATTCAGGCCATGATCTTTCCAGTCACTTACTATGCATCTGAGAGCTGGACAATGAATAAAGATAACAGAAGAAGAATTGGTACCTTTGAGTTGCTGTGTTGGAAAAGGGTGCTGAATGTCCCATGGATGGCCAAATGAACAAACAAGTATGTCATTGAGAGGCTGCAGCCAGAGTATTCTTTGGAGGCAAAGACGACAACGCTTTGCCTTACATACTTGGGGCATGTTGCTATGAAGGGCTGTTCCTTGGAGAGGGGCATGATGCTTGGAAAGGTGGAGGGTTGGTGAAGGAGAGGAGGACCTGCAACAAGGTGGATTGACACAGTGATTGCTGTAGT